GCTGGCCTGGACCGACTTGGTCTCCCTAGCTAGACAAAATGCTTTGATCAACAATAATAAGGTGGTCTAAATTGCATTTAAGGTGATTTGAAATCGGGCCAGAAACAATTTCGGTTGAATTTAGGTCGGATCAATAACAAGTCGTGTTAATTTAGAGTCGGGTTAGTAACAGATCGGGTTGAATTTATGGGTTGGGTAAGTAATAGGTATGGAAAAATTCGGGTTGGGTCAATAACAAGTTGGGTAGAATTTGGGTCAGGTCAATAACAAGTCAGGTTGATTTTGGGTCGGGTTTGTAACACGTTTGGTTAAATTCGGGTCGGGTTGAATTAAGGTTAGGTTAGTAACAAGTCAAGTTAAATTCGGATTTTGACGGGTTTGGGTCAATTTCGGTTCAAGTCGAGTTCGGTGCAAGTTAATTAAATTGGGCATTGTAAACCGGTAAATTGGTGCAAGTTGTAAATCGGTAAATTGGCCGTTTAAAAGCAAATTGAATGGTTCAACACATCCAATTGGACTCCCGGAGGATATTAGGGACCATGGTAAACATTTCGGCAATTTTTATTTCTAGGCGAAAAAAAGTAAAAAAAAAATCCAAAATTGAAGGCTAATATCCACACTTTTTGAGAAATTTTGAAGGTTTCATGGCCCGGTGTCGAAAAGTCTTGAATAACTATAAGATACATCTCGGGGTCATATATGCCGTTTGGAACCATATATGATCATTATTTGTTGTCATAAATGTTCGTGGTAGGCTTGAATTAATGAAATTGGTGCAAGTTGTAAACCGGTAAATTGGTCGTTTAAAGGCAAATTGGATGGTTTCACCCACTCAACTGGACTCCCGGAGGGTATTAGGGACCATGGTAAACATTTCAGCAATTTTTATTTTCAGGAAAAAAAAAATCAAAAAATTTCAAAATCACGTTTTTTGAGAAATTTTGGAGGTTTCGGGGCCCGTTGTAGAAAAGTACTAATATTTTAGGGGATACTTTCGGGGTCAAATAATGTCGTTTGGAACCATATATGATCATTATATGTTGTCATAAATGTTCGTAGTAGGCTTGAGTTAATGAAATCCGTGCAATTTGTAAAGCGGTAATTAAATTGGACGTTTAAAGGCAAATTGGATGGTTCCATCAACCCAATTGGACTCCAGGAGGGTATTAGGGACCATGGTAAAAAAAATTCGGCAATTTTTATTTCCAAGCGAAAAAAGTCAAAAAATTCCAAAATTGAAGACAAATCGGATGCTTCCACCCACCTGGAATTTTTTGACTCAAGTCCACGTTTTTTGAGAAATTTTGGAGGTTTCGGGGCTCGGTGTCGAATAATCTTGAAATTCTATGGGATACATCTCTGGGTCATATAATGCTGTTTTGAACCATATATAATCATTATTTGTTGTCATAAATGTTCGTGGTAGGCTTGAGTTAATGAAATCGGTGCAAATTGTAAACCGATAAATTAGTCGTTTAAAGGCAAATTTGATGGTTCCACCCACCCAATGGGTCACCCATACAGTATTAGGGACCATGGTAAACATTTTGGAAATTTTTATTTGCGGGCGAAAATAAAGTCAAAAATTTCAAAATTCCACGTTTTTTGAGAAATTTTGGAGGATTCGGGGCTTGGTGTCAAAAGGTCTTGAAATTTTAGGGGATACATCTTGGGGATATTTAATGCCGATTAGAACCATCTATGATCATTATTTGTTGTCATAAATGTTCGTGGTAGGCTTGGGTTAATAAAATCGGTGCAAATTATAAACAGGTAAATAGGTCGTTTAAAGACAAATCGGATGGTTCCACCCACCCAATTGGACTCCTGAAGGGTATTAAGGATCATGGTAAACATTTCGGCAATTATCAATTTCGGGCGAAAAAAAGTCTAAAAATTCCAAAATTAAAGGCTATTATCCACACTTTTTGAGAAATTTTGGAGTCTACAGGGGTCGGTGTCTAAAAGTCTCGAAATTCTAGGGAATACATCTCAGGGTCATAAAATGTCGTTTGGAACCATATGTGATCATTATTTGTTGTCATAAATGTTCGTTGTAGGCTTGAGTTAATGAAATCGGTGCAAGTTGTAAACCGGTAAATTGGTCGTTTAAAGGCAAATTGGATGGTTTCCCCCACCCAATTGGGCCCCAAAGGGTATCAGGGACCATGGTAAGCATTTCAGCAATTTTTATTTCCGGGCGAAAAAAAGTCCAAAATATTCCAAAATTGAAGGCTAATATCCACGCTTCTTAAGAAATTTCGAAGGTTTCGGGGCCCAAGTGTCGAAAAGAAATGATATTTGATATATCTCGGGGTCATATAATGACGTTTCAAACCATAAATGACCATTATATGTTGTCATAAATGTTTGTGGTAGGCTTGAGTTGATAAAATCATTGCAAATTGTAAATCGGTAAATTGTCCGTTTAAATGCAAATTGGATGATTCCACCCATCTTATTGGACTACCGGATGGTATTAGGAATCATGGTAAACATTTCAACAATTTTTATTTCCGGGCGAAAAAAAGCAAAAAAAATTCCGAAATTGAAGGCTATATTAATGCTTTTTTTTAGAAATTTCGAAGGTTTCAAGGCCCGGTGTCGAAAAGGCTTTAGATTCTAGGGGATACATCTCGGGGTCATATAATATTGTTTGGAATCATATATGATCATTATATGTTGTCAGAAATGTTCGTGGTAGGCTTGAGTTAATGAAATCGGTGCAAGTTATAAACCTTTAAATTCGCCGTTTAAAGACAAATTGGATGGTTCCACCCATCCAATTGGAATCCCGAAGGGTATTAGGGACCATGGTAAATATTTCGGAAATTTTTATTTACTGGCAAAAAAAAAAAGCCAAAAAATTCCAAAATTGAAGGCTAATATCCACGTTTTTTGAGAAATTTTGGAGGTTTCGAGACCCGGTGCGAAAAGACTTGAGATTTTAGGGAATATATCTCGGGGTCATATAATGCCGTTTGGAACCATTTATGATCTTTATTTGTTGTCATAAATGTTCGTGGTAGGCTTGAGTTAATGAAATCAGTGCAAGTTGTAAACCAGTAATTGGCCGTTTAGAGACAAATTGGTGGTTCCACCCACCCAATTGGACTACCAGAGGGTATTAGGGACCATGGTAAACATTTCGGCAATTTTTATTTTCGGGTGAAAAAAAGTTAAAAATTTCCAAAATTGAAGGTTAATATCCAAGCGTTTTGAGAATTTTTTTTAGGTTTGGTGTCGAAAAAGCTTTGAGAATTTAGGAAATACATCTCGGGGTCATATAATACTGTTTAAACCATAAATGATCATTATATGTTGTCATAAATGTTTGTGGTAGGCTTGAGTTGATGACATCGGTGCAAGTTGTAAACGATAAATTCGCCAATTAAAGGCAAATTGAATGGTTCCACCTACCCGATTGGACTCCCGGATCGTATTAGGGATCATGGTAAACATTTCGGAAATTTTTATTTATATGTGAAAAAAAGTCAAAAACTTCCAAAATTTAAGGCTAATATTCACGCTTTTTGAGAAATTTTGGAGGTTTTGAGGCCGGTATGGAAAATCGTTGAGATTTAAGGGGATAAATCTCGGGGCCATATAATGCCATTAGGAACCATATATGATCATTATATGTTGTCATAAATGTTTGTGGTAGGCTTGAATTAATGAAATCGGTGCAAGTTGTAAAGCGGTAAATTGGCTGTTTAAAGTCAAATTGGATGGTTCCACCCAGCCAATTGGACTTCCGGAGGGTATTAGGGACCATGGTAAACATTTCGGCAATTTTTATTTTTGGTTCACTGGTTGGGTTAAATTCGGGCCGGGTTAGGAACGGGTCGGGTTGAATTCAAGTCGGGTTAAATTCAGGTTTTGATGGGTTAAAACGGGGCTGGGTCAATTTCAGTTCGAGTCGGGTTCGGTTCAGGTCAATTATTTACATATTACATTCGGGTCGGGTCATCTCCAGGTCAGTCGATGTGCGGGTTCGGGTATCACATACTCGGGTTTAGGGTTGGTTTCTGGTCAGGTCGGTTTTGGGTCACCATTTTTTCGGGTTTAGATGGATCAATTAATAATCGGGTTTGAGTCGGTATTTTGGGTCGGGTCAACTTTTGACAGCTCTAGTCTTAAGACAAGACTTTATTATTTTATACCATTTAAGAAGTTTGATCTTAATAAAATTTGAAGTGGAGTCTTGAAAATTAAGACTCAATTTAGCACTCAATTAATATTTTTTTTTTAATTTTTGAAAAACTTTAAGGGAAATTCTTATTGGTAGCCTTGTACTTTTGCTTATTTCCACTGGTAGCCACTTTTCATATGGATTATCTTTGGTAGCCTCAAACTTTTTAAATTTTACTTTTGTAACCACATTTACTATAAAACGTTAATTAGAACGTTAATTTTAATGAATCATGGTTTATACACTAACTAGGGTTATATTTTACTTATTTTTGGCTCCAAAGTTTCCCACCAAAATGCAACCAGACCTCCCACCATAAATAAACACCCCATACCTTCAATCTTTATGCCTCCCTCCTCTCATCTTTTCTTTTCCTTCCCCCTTTTATGGTTATGGCTGAAGAGTGGGTAAAAATGAGAAGATGCAGCTGTTATCCAATGAAGAATGCTGATGTTAGGATCTCTGACACAAGGAGCAACCCCGAAAGACCATACTACAAGTGCAACCTGTGTGGATTTTTTTCATGGGTGGAATCTTCAGATGTTGTAATTTGGAGGGAAGGGATTTGCTCTGTTGTTTGTGCTGCCATGAATGAAGGGTTGAAGATATGTGTGAAGTGGGTTGTTGTAATGACTTTTTATGTACTTCCTTATTTATTGTGCTGATGAACTAATGTATTGTAGTGAAATAGAGAAGCGAACTAGGTTGTATGCTGCTTTAAAATATGAATAAAATGAAAACCTTTTGTTAATCATTTTCCAATTGAGTAGAAAATTATGTATGTTTCAAGGATAATGTGGAAAAAAAATATTCAAATGAGTAGTACCAAAATTAATACCCTGCCATAACTGTTAACATAAATTTCATGAATATAATTTCCAAAAGTCAAGATCATATTCACCCACACTTAACTAATACTATGTCTTCAAATGACAAGGCTTGAACATGTTAACACTTCATTGTTAAGTTAAAAAAAAAAATCTACTTCAGCTTAATAATCAAACATCTTCTCCAGATTCAAGGCTAGGATGCAGGTTGTTTCTTCTTTCCTTTTACTGGCTGGGAGGAGGATGCATTGAACTGTTGGGATGCAGGTTGTTTCTTCTTTCCCTTCTGACTAGTGGTTGCCTTTTGTTTTGATGTCAGACCTCCTTTGCAGGTCAAAGTATTGTGTCCATATGCCTGACACTTACTGCATTTTACGGTCTTAGCCCTTTTACCCTTCCTTTCTTCATCATCAGCTCTCTTCCTATTTCTGCAAGGTCTCCCTATTGCCCTTTTCACAATTGGTGGCTTGATCTCTGGCATATTAATCTCTGGCCAATGCTCAACGTCTGGGATAGACTTGATACCAGAGCTGTAAGCTTCCTTGTATTTGCTCACAGAATACCACTCATGCACAAATGAGTGTGGATCCAACCTTGCATGAATTATTGCTCTAATACCATGTTTACATGGTATACCAGTTAGCTGCCAAGCTCCACACAAGCAAGTGTGTTTGTTTAAGCTAACTGGGAGAACAGACTTGCCAGTTAGGATTTCATACTCTCCTTCCCCTGCCATGTATGGGATGCAGTCCCTACTTGCATGACTAAGCTTCTGGATTCTTCTTGCAATGTTAGGACAGATGTCTTACCTCTCCCAAGTTTCACATTGTTGTCTTCTTGAAGCGATCCTAACCATAGTGTTTCTTCTAATCCCTACAAACAAATTTACACATACTATCATTTCATGGATGTGTGCATAAACTGAAAAGCGACAAAGTTAATGAAAGTGGCATGTTATACCTTCAAGTAAGGTCAACACGGGCCTACATCTGTCCAGTCCCAGAGTCGCATTAAAACTTTCAACAAAATTTGTTTTGTTGACATCACACTTTAGCTCAGTGTTAAACTTGTGTTTAGTCCACCTTGTCTGATCTCCTAAGTTTGATAGCCATTTTCTCCCAGCTTGATTAACTTTGTCAAGTTGTTCCATGGCTTTCTTGAAGGTAAATGGTGAGAATGCACCACATGATTTCCAGAAAAGAGAAAACAATAATGGCCCTGGGAATGCTTTCTTCCAGTTTGCCACAAGGTGCTTACAACAGTACCTTTTGTCAGCTTCATTCCATAACTCAGTTAATGCCAAATTAATCCCCTGCATAATCAGATACCACAATGGTTAGTACATGAATGAATTGTAACAAAAGCCAAAAGTATATAATGAATTATGGGGCTGACCTTCTGTCGATCTGAGATTATGCACCAGCTGTTCCCTCTTCCAAGATCCTTCAACATGTTCTTCAGATTCCACACAAAGAAGCACCAATTGTCGGTATCTTCTCCAGATACAATCGCCCATGCAAAAGGGTACAACTCATTGTTGGCATCTAAAGCTACTGCAGACAACAACACACCCCCATAATTTCCCTTAAGGTGTGCACCATCTACCCCTATCAAGCTTCTACAGGCCTTTAAACCATCGAGAACTCCTTTAAAACTAATGAAAATGCTCTTAAAAACCAATGGTTTTTCATGCTCCTGTAACTGAACCCAAGCACAAAATACAAATGACCCAGGATTGGTTGACTTGATCATCTCACAATACTTGGGTAAAAAAGCATAAGACTCATCATGAGAACCATGAATTTCAGCCAATGCCTTATGCTTAACCCTGTATAGTGTGCTTATAGCCATCTGAACACCAAATCTTTGAAATAGAATGGCATTTAAAGATTTGGCAGAAATATCATTATTAGCCCGGATGTCTTCAATCAAGACTCTTGATGCCCATGAAGCACTAACCATAGGGTTATTTACATCCAACCCACTGCAAGTATGCTCGGGATTTTTTATGGACTTAAGCCCATGTAATCCCATCAGGTAGCTTGGATGCATGCAACCTCCATTCACATCCTTCAGCAGAGCAAAGTACAGTGTACCTCAAGTTTGTTGCCCTATCAACTACCACAGAAAAACCACATTGGATGCAATAATCCCTTACCACATCCCTCAAATGCTGCTTGTCAGTAAACAATTGCCAAGACTTAAGAATAATTTCCCCAAATTCCTCATCTTTGTATAACTCCCCATTTCTGTACAACCTCATGAAGTAATTATCATCATCATCGCCATCATCAAATACCTCAGCCTCAAAAGGATCAAAATTATCATGAATAATAGCCCCACTAACTTCCTCTTCTTGGTCTTCTTCATCAAGGCTCTCATCCTCACTGTCCTCATTTTCATCACCCCCAACAGGTTCATAATTGTCTTCCTCATCATCATCATCACTCACTAAATTCTGATCATCATCACCTAAATTAACAGTGAGTGCATCTGTCCTTCTGCTCTTAACCCCTTGACTCAAACTATTACTTCCCTCACTAACAGAAACTTGCAGACCTTTCCTCCTAGCAGTTGTCAAAGGCACCTTCCTTTTAATTGTAGGAAAAACCTTAGAAGACCTAGATGAACCAACTTGATCAGAAGTCTTTCCATGATCAGAAATTTCTAGGGTTGGGTTGATTGGAGTTGGAATTTGTGGGGTTGGGTTGACTGGAGTTTGAATGGTTTGAATTTCTAGGGTAGGTTGCTTTTGTGATTGTTTCCTAGGACTCCTCCTTAGGACCACTATTGGTTCAACAACATGCTGGGATTGGTCATTTTGGGGTGGTTCAGTTACAATGTCTAGTCTAGGATTTGAACTACTCAACCATTGCTCAAAGGTGTAACCAGTTTGCTTACCTCTCCCTTTGCCTCTCCCTCCTCTCACTCCCCTCCCTTCTCCTGACCCTCCTCTCCCTCCCATAGCTTCTGCTAAACCTCCCTCTGCCTCTCCCTCCTCTCCCTCTGCCTCTCCCTCTCCCTCTCCCTCTCCCTCTCCCTCTTTCAGCTTGATTATGTAGCACATCTTCTGCAACCTGTCTACTTGGAGAGAGTACCATATGATGAATTTCATTACCTATCTCCATTCTCTCATCTACCTCTTCAACCCTTCTCCTAGGAACCAATTTTTTAGGTCCATTATCATCAGCTTGTGCATCAAGAATATAAGTGGTAGATGGTTCAACATTGACTGGTGTGACTTGTTTTTTAATGGGTTCAGGTTCATTTAAAGCTTTAAGTGCTTCCTCCTTCCACTGCTCCTTAAGTTGTTTATTTATCCTCCCAACCATCAACTCATAAGCCGCCTGTACTACATCTGTTTTACCCTCACCCTCCTCAACCCAAATATGAATCACATACTTACCAACCAGCCTTTCAAACATCTCCATTAACTGACCATCTAACCTAAGTTCATACATCATCATCTTATAGCAATATTCAAACCTAGGATTTCTGGGTGTGGGTGTGTCATTTTGCCTAGCTAATTCCCAATACTCAATTATTAAGTCAATCAAGTTCACCTTATCAACATCATCTACCACAACATCAATATCACTACGATTATATTGAAATTTAAGCACCACTGGGTAATTCATTCTGCATTATTATAAGACAAAGAAAAGGTACAATTTCAGAAAAAAAACATAGAGGTAAATTTCAGAATAATCATTTGAAACCCTTTCATATGTCCATAGTAAGCTCGTACCCACATCAACCAATTTCAGAACAATCAACACAAGTCCTAACCACTTACCCACATCAAGCAATAATAATACAAAATTCAATAGCATACATGCAAAACTTTGAGGCCTAACCCATTATTTATGCCTAACTTTGAGGTAACATGAAACAATAACATACGAAATTCGCCAGCATATGAAATTCAACGCCTAACTTTGAGGCCTAACACATACATGCAAAATTGCATAATTAACCCATTTAACAAAAAAAACCCACAAAATTAACAAAAATAAATCTTGAATCTACATAATTATCGACATTAAACCACACAATTTACAAAAATAAACCATTAATTTGCATATTTTACTAACAAAAACCTAACTTTCACCCAAATTACTCACTTACACGCAATCACACAATAACAGAGCATCGACTGTAATTGTGAATTTCTCTAACACATACCTGGAATGAAGCTACCCTTAAATCGATCTTTCGTTCGCAATTGATGATTCCTTCGTGCTATCTACTGTAATTGTGACTTCCTCAAGCAAAATTATACCCAGCAATGTTAGAATGAGATGAAGAAATGAGAAAGGGTTTGTTGTTCTAAAAAAAGAGAAGGGTTTGGTGTTTTATGACTGACTCGGTTACAAGTGGGTGGAGTTAGTGAGAGATCATAAATGCATGGGTTAAGTATTTGACTCCAATTAAAATTAACGTTCTAATTAACGTTTTATAGTAAATATGGCTACAGAAGTAAAATTTAAAAAGTTTGAGGCTACCAAAGATAATTCATATAAAAAGTGGCTATCAGTGGAAATAAGCAAAAGTACGAGGCTATCAATGAGAATTTCCCAAACTTTAATAATATAATTTATATGTAAAAAAATGAGTCTGAGCGATTGAAGAGATAAGTTTTATCGAGTCTTAAGGAGTCTTACATAATTATAAATTAGAAAAAAAAAAATTTAATCTAAAAAGCTGATGTGGCAATGAATTACGGAGTAAAGTCTTAAGATGAGACTGCGCTAATCTTGCTTTTAGTTATATTTGCGAATAAGACCCACTTACACTTAATTATGCCTAATTAAAGAACCCCAATTAACCAAACTCGAGCCAAACTTGACAAACTAAAGTTAAGGACTGTACTTAGGTATAGATCTCGAAACCTTAAGCTATGAACTTTGGTTGTACAAAATACTCCAAACTCAGGAAATTAGTTCAATACACCAACCCAACCCAAGTGACCAACCCATTTGGTATTTGAAGGATATAATACTGTTACGACGTCATGTGGTTGGTGTTGTTGGTAGGGTATCCATTAATTCTTGATTTTGGATCTTAATCTCCCAATAATTGTCTTGTTGGAAAAAACAAGAAAATCCACAAGTAGAAAATACAAGTGTTAATTAAATACTCAAATATAACTCGTTTTCTTATAATGTAATATTATCTCGTGTGAATTGGAAAGAGAAATTTTAAAAAACATCACCAAACCAGATCATCAATTTGGTTTTTGACTTGAGAAATAAGTACCAAATTACTTACTTGCAGTGTCATAGTTTCACTAAAATAAAGTTGCAATCTTTTTTCTTTGTTCTTTGTAAATGAGCTTATTGAGAGAAAACCCAGAACAAAAATGTCGGTGAAAAATAGAGCTGGATTTGGTGGAAATGAATCATCTTCAAGGAATTTTTTACCTCGGAATTTTGTAATCTTGCTATGTATTGGTAGCTTTTGTGCTGGAATGTTCTTCACAGAAAGGTAACTTTTTTCCTTTTTTCTAATTTTTGTTCCTATATTTGTGATTATTTTTTCTGTGTTTAATTTATTGTGCATTTAATTAATGCTGTAAATTTTATGATTATCTTAATTTGGGAAAGGGTATTGAGATTTGATTTTAAATGGGGTTTTAAGTGATCAAGAATTAATTTTTATAATTTGATGAGTTGGAAATTTGGAATATTATGTGGAAATGTGTTGTGGATTGAGCAGAGATCATTGCAGTAGAAATTGTAATAATGTTGTTTATTGTGTTTGTTATTTTAGAGCAGAAGAGTTTCTGATCTAGTAGTAGGTAGATTAGCACTTTCTTAGTTAAAAAGTAGGATTTTGGGGAAATTTGCAATTTGCGGGAAACCAAAAACCTAGGATCAATTAATGCTCCCTCTATCTACAAACTGGTGATTATTGAGCAATGATTAGAGAGAGTGTCAATGCCGCATTCCATGGAGGGAGATCATTGGCGAACCGGTCAAGGAGCTGTGAGAGTGAAATTTATCACCCTTTGCAATTGCAAGCTGAAGGAGTAGTTGAATGATGTCTACTGCTGCAGCACCCTGGAGGATTGCCAATTGGGATAGGTTTGCTATGGCTATTGACTCATTGGTGGATATCATGGGTTCTCCGAGGTTGTGTAAGGAGGCGCTATGATTTTTTTTGCTTGAGAGTGGTTTGCTGGTTGGGTGGCTGAACTCGTAGAGTCGTAGGAGATGGAGATTGTATGATTAATGTGAATTAAGGTTGAGATGCCTTTTCTTTATGATCTCTTTCTCAATTGCTGTGTGCAGAGGATTAACAGTACTATCTTAATGTGATATCACTGGTACTATAATAGGGAAAGTTGAATCAACTAGAAGTGCATGAGGAAAACCTGGTTAAGAAAATCCTGTTCTAATGCTGCAGTTGCAAGTTTATTGTTGACTTATTATGATAACTATTGGATTGGTCCGCTGTGATGTCAGTCACTCAGTCCTTAAGGCAGTATAGGTGCCAACTTGCATCGCATATGCGTTACTTTAAGTTTTTCTTGGGATGCTTCATGCGTGGAGTACCATTAGCAGTCTTCATACTCATGTTGATTCTGTGTTCAAACTTTGAATATCTGGGCATTATTGGAAGTCAAGTTTCTGTTGAGAAGCGGTTGTAATGGCCTGAATATGTATGCCAGATCTGAAAGCATTAATATTCAAATTAAGACCATTATTGGAGATTTTGGGATATGGTGTCGAGAAAAATCAAGTGATGGTAAGGATGTTTCCTGTGGTCATATTATGTTGTTTGGAACCATATACATTAACATAAAAGGTCCTTGGTGTCCATGAGTTAATGTAGAGAGATGTGCTTGTAACCGGCAAATTGATAGTTAAGAGGCATAGTGGATGATTTCAACCACCCAAATGGCCTCTTGGGGTCTCGTGGGATGTATGGGAAGCACCTCATTCTCTTGTATTTTCCAGATCTGGGAAAGCTGAAAATTGTCCAAAATCAAA